AACCCTCACAGTCAGATGCTCTATTTTTCTTATTATGCTCTCTCAATTTGGTGAGCTCATGGCTCACCCAAGCTCTGCTCAAATTAGCTCATACTCTCACCAATCCATAATGGATGTTGCCTACACTTTCTAATGTCTGTGAATATATCTGCAAGACGAGTTGATCATCTCCTCTCAAAATTTGTTCTGATCCTTGTGGCATGCTCAGGCAACCACCAAAAATCATTCTGTAAAATATATGCATAATAAAAAATATTAATACAAATGAAATAAAATATTTTAAGTAATTCCAAATAAATATACCTGAAATTTTTGAACTATATATCCCTAACTTCCTTTGAGATATTTTTCTATGATATGTAAGGAGCATCATATTTGCTCCATATAATGTTCTAAATCTTATGGGTAAGCTGCCTTGAGGGATTGAAGTTACAGATTAAATTTTTTGTCAATAACATATAATAAATCAAATTACAATAACTTTACAAATAAACTAAACTTACATATCACCCTTAGGCTCGATGTATACACGCATATCTTCTATTGTTGCAGGATCCCCAACACCAACCTGATAACAGATGATATTGTACAGGTCCATTAACTCTAGCTTCACAAGGTAGTGAACTGGAAGATGTTCCATATAATCAAAGAAATATCTCTGGAGAAATTTTTTTTCAAACTTGTATATGATGATTTATATGTTCTCATCGTTCCTCAATAAAGCATCTTTGCTTAATTTAGATGAATATATGTCTTTGAAGAAAATGTTAAGCTCTGTCAATAAATTTGATATGTAATATGATAATCGACATGATATAATTGAAAGGATAATCTCGATAATTATGTGACAATCATGACTTTTTAGTTCAAATAATCTCACATATTTAAGGTCTACACATCGACTTAAGTTTGATCCATAGCCATCAGACATTTTTAAATCTTAAAATCATTGATATATTAATATTTTTTTATAAACTGAAAGAGTAAGGTACTTTAGGCTTCATTATTTTGGTATCGTTGTTTATTACTAACTCTAAATTTCTTTGTCAATAATATTTTTTAATGTCCATTTTAGCTTTCACATTATTCTTGCTCTTGCATAATATTATTGAGAAAGTTCTTCTCACTGTGCATAATATCCAGATTATGCCTTATTAAATTTATTCTCCATTATGATAATGCCTATAAAATATTTTTTTATTATAATTATGTTGAATACCATATCCTAAAAATTTATATTATGATAATATTGAAAATTAATAATTGATGAAATTTCAAAAAGTCTCTATAGTACATTATCACCATTTAATCTGGGTGAAAGAGGTGACATATCAACTATGTTTTTAACAAATGCATTCTTATTTATTCTAAATGGATGATCAACAGGTAGGAACATATAATGACAATCAAACTAACTATTTTTTTTCTCCAAGTTTTAATGTGAAAGATTTAGTATTCTCTATAGAAAGAGCAAGCTAATTTTTCTGTTGTGCTCCAACCAGATAACATACAATAAGTTGGAAAATTGTCAATGATCCAAAACAATGCAGCTCTAAGGAGCAAATTTTATTTGGTTGAGATGTCATATGTAAAGACACCTTCTTCACATAAGAACTTGAGATTTATTAATTAAATATAACAAAAAAAAAATTTACTTTTCGATTATGTAGTTCAGGTATTATAAGTGTTAGGAACATGTATGTGGTAGTCATCCACATCTCTGATAGAAGGTTGTATGGTGTTAAAAGTTCATTAGGGATGTTAGGCCCTATGAACCGGCCCAAGGCTAATTAAAAGAGAGAGGTGAATCGATATTTAAAACAAAATTCAAACTTAAAATCAAAACCAAGATTCACCACAATGAAAATCAAAGTGCGGAAATTTAAATGTAGAAGTAATAAAAAAAAGAACACGCCAGATTTATAGTGGTTCGGTCAAACCTTGACATACGTCCACTCCTTGGACGCACTATCCGCCACACCAAATACAACAAACTCAAGAAAGGAAAAAGATTACAAACTGACACAGATCTAGTCTACCCAATCTTGAGCTGGTTCCAGATTGCAGTCTGATCGTGTGGACCTGAAACGTTAGCACATAAGGCAATCGTAGAGAAATAAGTAATGTTTGCTATCATCAAAATCATAAACCATTGATCCGCAACAGGTGTTAGTATAACTGGCTAATAAGAATATGATGAAGTTTTCTGATTATATGGAGTAAAACCTTCAGTATACAATCACAATCTTATATTATACGGCTTAACAGCAAATGAAGCTTACGTTCGATCAAAATGTTTCCACGCTTCAGCATTTGATAGATGAGAAAGAACATCATTAATTACTAATTTCTCCTTATGCCATCTCATATGGCATGTTAAACTCATTGAGGTGTAGAGCCACTGAAGTCTATGAATAATTAGTAAATAAAATAAATAGGAATATATAACATCTTTCTTTTAACGACGTTATTTTTTCGAGTTTGGTTTAAATTGAGTCGTATTGTAGGTGCGATAATAAACTTCTATTGCATCATCTTTGTAATATAAAATATATCCATTTACATGGTAATCAATTTTCATAGCAGTGAGATCCAACTTGGATGCTAATTTTTTTATTATTCAATATAAATTTATAGGGAATAAATTATCCGCTGGATTTATTTCCTTGAGAAGACCAATGAAGTTATTGAAACAGTCATAAGGAATATTATATTTAATTTTGATACTTAACATCCTAACAGTAACCGATAAATCTAAATGAGTTTTGTAACCATTCTAAATTAGTTTTTGAAAGCATACAGTAATTCACAGAATTTTTTTGTTTCAGCGTTTAGTGGCTCTTCCATATTGGCTCTTAAATTATGACTTGTTGCATCAAAAATAAGTTCTTCATACGGTTTACTCATTTGATCTTCATCTACTATTTTAAAAGATGTGGATGGACCAACATGAGTATCTCTGCGTGGCTCATACTTATCATGTGAGATCCAAATCCAGTAGCCTGGAACAAATCCCCTACGATATAAATCAACATTTACATCATCAGACTTAAGGAATCCTTGATTTTTGTGCTTCAAGAATGGACATCTAAACATGCCATGGGACTTAAAAAAAGTTAAATGAGATTTGACTTGAATAAAAGTCTCAAATCCCTCCATAAATTTATCTTTCAATCCTCTTTGATTTGGTAACAATCTGTTATGCATTCAATATCTCTCTTCTTGGATAGTCATTTGAATGTTAAATAACACGTTTCCTACATAGTTGTGAAATGAGTTAGTAGAAAAGATAAAGCCTAAAATCTCGTTTAAATCTAATAAGGAAATATATTTTATAATATTTTTTAGCCAAGTCTTTTTAGGTTTACCTCTAACTTTCTTAATATAAGTTAAATCTAATACCTATACATTTTAAGTGACCAAACCATCTAAGGTGATTTATCTCTACAAAACTTAACTTAGTATTATGCTTTTCTTTTAATGAACAACATTTGACACTATAAAGCATTACAGGTCTCACCACCATCTTATAGAATTTTTCCTTAAGTTTGAAGGGAACTTTTCTATCACACATAAGTCTGATGCAATCCTCCACTTCAACCATTCAACTTGATTTCTATTGATAATATTCCCATCTATCTCACCTTCACTCTAAACAAGAGATCAAATATATCTAAAATGTATACTCTTATTAATGACTTGATCGCCCAAAGTCACAAATCCCCTCACTAATTGTATTACTAAAACACTTCATATATTAATGGTTTATATCAACTCAAGCAAAAACCTTTAGACTCTAAGATTGACCTACATAATTCAAGTTTATCTTCAATTCCCTTTCTAGTATTATCAATAAGAATAATATCATAACCACAAAACAAAACAAAAAAAGCAGGGTATAACCTCTTGCAAATGTCTACTGAGAACATCCATGACTAAAGCAAACTGATATGGGCTTAAAGCTTTCTTAAAATCAACCTTTAGATTTAAAGGTTGATCTCCAAGGTACATCCTCTTGCAAATATCTAATGAGAACATCCATAACTAAAGCAAAAAAATAAGGAGTTGCATGGAGGATATCACCTTCATGGGCATTCAATGGATGGAGTGAGAGAGTCGGGGCGAGGCGCAGGTTGCGTTCGGTGGCCGGAGATCAATTGACGAGAACACACTTCGATAACAAGGGTGAGGGTGAGGGTAAGGGCGAAATCTCTAGGCAGTGTCTTATTTACAAACACATCTGCCTTCCAAAATTTACCTCATAACTTAATTTCGTTAAAACTCCCCCTAAAGAAAAGCATAACAGGCGGAGGCCGGGGCCAAATTTTCGGAGCCCACAATCCTTGATAAGATGTATGAGTCCTTTAAGTATGCATTATTGACTAAATTGTGAGTATCCAAATCATATTGAAGCAATCCAACTATCTACAAATATGATATGAGTCATATGACTACCCTAACCTTACATGAGAATTGGTTATATCATTATTGAGCTTATCTACACCAAATTTAGAATAATCATTTAGGTTTTAGTCATTCAATCATCACAACTCAAAATTAAAGATGTCATAAATGCACATATTTCCCAACGCGAGCCGCTGGTGGCTAGCTTATAGTTGAACCGCACGTTCAAATGCAAAATCTACCGGTCAAAAGGCTGCTTGCGGTCAAACGTCAAGTCCTTACGGCGGTTGAGGCTATGCTAAGGACTGGGCCCGCGCCCCTGTGGTTAAGACTTTTCAGATAAAATTCAAAGCCACCAAAGACTTTCTACAAGGAAAATAATTGTGCGAAGTTGTATAAAAAATACAGGTAATCTCCCTGAGCACGCCTTCTAGATGAATCTGAAGCGTTTCCCTTATGTAAAAAATTTCTATTTTGAAAAAAAAAAATATCTTTAATGTTGACTGCCAATATCCAGTCAGGCCTTCTAGATAACTGAAATTTCCCAGGCTGCTTAGATTACCCGGAACCGCTAAATTATACATATAAAGAAGACTAAACGGAACATGCAGAAGAGGAACTAATTCATTTGTACTTTCTTCCTCCTCATCTTCAAGCTTCTCCAGCTACCAGGGGCTGTGAATTCTTCCAATTGTCAAGTAACCAAAAAAGCAAGCAGCTTGAAGGTTTCAGAGCAGAGGGAAAGAAAAAGCTCTGGTTTTGTTGATTGCCTTGATCGAATGGAAGTCGTTGGAGGTATTATGGCTGCGAGCCTTCGGCGAACTGGCTCGGCATGGCGGAGCGCCAGTAATAGGGATGTCTTCTCTAGGTCTTCGAGGGATGAGGATGATGAAGAGGCTCTCAAGTGGGCAGCACTCGAAAAGCTTCCCACTTATGACCGAATCCGCAAGGGAATTCTCTCTGGTTCACAGGGGGGTAGAGAAGTGAACATTGCGGAGCTTGGTTTGACTGAAAGGAATATGCTGATGGAGAGACTTGTCAGAATTGCAGATGAAGATAACGAGAAGTTTCTGAAAAAACTCAAGAATAGATTGGATAGGTATGGTCTTCATCCTTAGCTTTCACATCGTTTCAGGAAGGTTGAAGTTCTTCGTTGATATGATTTGGTTTTGTTTGTTTGTTTGTTTTTTGTTCTCCACAGAGTTGGAATTGAGAATCCAACCATTGAGGTGAGGTTTGAGAACTTGGAAATCCATGCAGATGCTTTTGTAGGGAACAGAGGAGTTCCTAATATACTGAATTTCTTCACCAATAAGATTGAGGTAACTTTTGCTAACAGATTCTCTCATGAATCAATTGATGATAAAAAGAGCTTATTGATTTATCATCTCTCCAGGCGCTACTGAACGCATTACATATACTGCCAAGTAGAAAGGTGCCTCTCGCAATCCTTCATGGTATCAGTGGAATCATTAAACCAAACAGGTAAACCAAAAACCTAAAAATTATGTGATTTCAGCTTTCTGCCTACTGCCCTAACTAAGTTAGTCCTTTTTTTTCAGAATGACCTTGCTTTTAGGCCCCCCATCTTCAGGGAAAACCACTCTGCTTCTGGCTCTAGCGGGGAAGCTAAGTAAAGAACTAAAGGTTAGAAATCTTTCTTTCTACTTAAAAAATTAAAAGCATAGTGCCCCTCATGATCTGTTAGCGTCCCTTTTGAATTGATTATGCAATGGAAAATACAGATTTCTGGTAGTGTGGCTTATAATGGCCACGGTTTGGATGAATTTGTGCCCCAAAGAACCTCAGCTTATATTAGTCAACATGACCTGCACATTGGAGAGATGACGGTCAGAGAAACATTGGCTTTCTCTGCAAAATGTCAGGGTGTTGGAACCCGATATGGTATGTTCTTGCAAATTTACTATCAACAATATGCAACTGGTAGTGTTTTGCTCTTTGTTCCATCACCTAATCTTTCTGCAATGGATTCCAGAAATGTTATCAGAGCTGTCAAGAAGGGAAAAGGCAGCAAACATTAAGCCAGATCCTGATATTGATATGTATATGAAGGTAAAATTCAACAGAGAATTAAAGTGTTTAATAAATTTAGGGTTTAAATTTCAAGCAATAAAGAATGAGATTTTTCTAATTTGTTGTACTCTTGCAGGCTACGACTTTGGAAGGGCAGGAAATTGTTATCACGAACTACATCTTGAAGGTATGGGCAACATCAAAGTTATACAAACTACAAATATTCATAACAAGTAATTAGTGGAGTTATAGAAAGCCTAAGGCTTCATTTGGGAAGGTTTTCTTCCCGCTTCTTAAAGCAGCAAAAAAGCCGTCTCAAACGAAGTCTAAAACTAGTTATTTCATAGCAATCAACTTTAAGATTTCTCTAATCATCAAAGTAGAGTATTGGCAGACAAGAAATGGGATTTTTTTATTTAAACGATACAAACATAGTCATGACTTTGATCAGCCTTGTCACATCACTTTGTTAAGTAGTTAGAAATTCAGGAGTACCGTAGCAGCTCATTCAATAACAATTCTTAGCTAGTTTTCCTTGCAAATTTTTACTTTCTTTCTTCACTTACACATTTTACTTGAAAGAATTAACCTTATGTGATTAAGGAAAATAATATTTGTCCAATGGTAGAATGATAACCCTAAATATTTGTCATCCCTGTAAAATGGATGTTGAAGTCCACAAATCTTTAATTATGCAGATATTAGGATTGGATATCTGTGCTGATACTATGGTAGGGGATCAAATGATACGGGGAATATCAGGAGGGCAGAAGAAAAGGGTAACTACAGGTGAAGAAATAAAGCAATTGGAACCAAGGAATGTTTTTTCAAGAGTAACAAGCCAAATGATATTTATTAACCTTATAAAGTTTTTTTTTTCTGTAACAGGTGAGATGCTTGTAGGACCAGCGAGAGCACTATTTATGGATGAGATATCCACTGGTTTGGATAGCTCAACTACCTTCTCAATAGTGAGTTCACTGAGGCAGTCCATTCACATCCTTGGTGGGACTGCCCTGATAGCATTGCTTCAACCAGCACCTGAGACTTATGACCTCTTTGATGACATTCTTCTAATCTCAGAAGGCCAAATAGTTTACCAGGGCCCTCGAGAAAATGTGGTCGAGTTCTTCGAATCTATGGGCTTCAGATGTCCTGAAAGAAAAGGTGTTGCAGATTTCCTGCAAGAGGTAACCATCTCAAATAGCTAGAAAAACATTATTAGTGCATATAATTACCATGAGCTATCCATCATTTGCAATAGAAGTCTAGCATTAACTAGTGAAATACTTCATGACTTCATAGGTTACATCAAAGAAAGACCAAAGACAATACTGGTCGCGACCAGATGAACCATACAGATTTGTCTCTGTTAATGAATTCTCCAACGCATTTCTTTCCTTCCATGTCGGAAGAAGACTGGAGCAGGAACTTCATACCCCATATGACAAGAGCAAGAACCACCCTGCTGCTCTGACTACAACAAGATATGGAGTTGGCAATAAGGATTTGCTGAAGGCTTGCTTGGAGAGAGAGTATTTGTTAATGAAGAGGAACTCATTTGTTTACATCTTCAAACTGTTCCAGGTTAGTACTTTATCAACCATCTTGTGGATTCATACAACATTTCCAGATGCTTTCTTCATACAAATAATTTGCTAAATTTTGTTTTCTGAAACCAGCTTATCATGGTAGCTTCAATAGCGATGACAGTGTTCCTGCGGACCAAGATGCACCATCGTGATATTGATGATGGAACAATCTATATGGGTGCTATTTTTATTGGAATTATGACTCATCTGTTCAATGGATTTGCGGAACTAGCCATGAGCATTGCAAAGCTTCCTGTTTTTTACAAACAAAGAGATCTCTTATTCTTTCCAGCATGGGCTTATGCTTTGCCTACATGGATTCTTAAGATTCCAATTTCTTTTCTGGAATGTGCCGTCTATACTGGCTTGAGTTATTATGTGATTGGTTTTGATCCAAATGTGCAAAGGTGAGCCAGTCTAGTTTATGAGTAGCTGCAATTACACATCATTTATTAAGTTTTTGCATCATCATTAACTAGAAATCATAACTCTTGCTGCAGGTTCTTTAGGCAGTTTTTGCTATTCTCTTTGGTTAGTCAAATGGCCTCCGGGCTTTTCCGAGTTGTCGCGGCACTTGGCAGAGAAATGACAGTTGCAAACTCTTTTGGTTCCTTTGCCCAGCTGGTGGTGATAGTCCTTGGTGGATTTATCATATCTAGAAGTATGATTGTACTCAGTCAAACATAAGCTTGTAGATAAAAAAACCAAACTTCTAGGGGCTGTTCGGTAGAATCTAGGATTTCATAAATCCTCCAAATCCGGATTTACGGAATCCTGAGGGGGTTAAATCCTGAAAACTGTTTGTTAACCTTCATGATAAATCCTATGTAGTTGTTTGGCTATTCCATTCAGGATTTAAGGAGGTTGAAAGATTTGGGTGGAGTTTCTTCCTTCCCGCGTCAATAGAGCCAGAGGATTTCAGAAATCCGCCGAACGAGAGGATTTTGAGAATCCGGGATTTACGACGAAAAGGCTGAATTTTCCGTCTAATTTGGTTTTGCATTTTAGGCCGTTTGGCTGGATTTCGCCTCAAATCCGGCCTAAATTCGCATACCAAACAGCCCCCTAGTTTCATTAGGATATGTCCAACACATGGGCTGCAAAGCCTTGAATTTACAATCTTACTTTAGTTATTCAGCTTTTAATTAGCTTCTGACCTAGAAAATTCCTCTCTTTTGCAGAAAGCATCAAGGATTTCTGGATCTGGGGTTACTGGTTATCACCTCTTATGTATGCTCAGAACGCCCTATCAGTAAATGAATTTCTTGGGCACAAATGGAAATTTGTAAGTGCATTAATGGATTTATTCACTACATATGACATAAAATTCAGCCTGCCTTGACACCAACTAAGCCTGATTTGATTTTTATTAAATAGATTCCTGCTGATTCGACTAGCAACAAAACATTAGGAGTCCAAATTATTGAAGGCAGAGGCTTATTTGCTGAATCAAAATGGGTCTGGATAGGTGTGGGAGCTTTGATTGGCTATGTTTTGGTCTTCAATGTTGTATACACTGCTGCTCTTACCTTTCTGGATCGTAAGCATTCTCGATTCTACACTCAAATAGCACACATTACTAAAGTTATTAAAAAAATTTCCTCTGAAGAACTATCTCTGAATCTATTTCCCACCTTTCAGCAATAGGGAAAGGTCAGGCAGTCATATCTGAGGACACTCTGAATGAGAAAGAGTCTAACAGAACTGGAGCGGTTGTCGAGCTCTCATCTAGAGGAAGAAGTTCTCGTGGATCTCGAGGTTAGCTGAACATCATCACACTGTTACAAGCTAATGCTTCGTTTGAGACTGCTTTTTTATTGTTTTTTTGAAACAGCTTTTTAGTATAAAAATTAAAATTTTTGTATTAAAATGTTGCTTCAAGAAACAGTTAAAAAGTCGTCCCAAACGAAGCCTAAATTAATAACAGGTAACTTAAGGTTACATCCATTTGATTACAGCTGGAGAAGATCGGAGTCAGAGAGGAGGGGCAGAAATCAACACAGCAGATGATCCTAACAGGAAGCGTGGAATGGTTCTTCCATTTGAACCTCTGTCATTAACTTTTGACGATGTAAAGTATTCAGTGGACATGCCAGCGGTAAGCCTAAGTTTTGTGCATAGATTTATATGCAGTTAAAGAACAAAATAGCTAACAGTTAATTGTCATACTTGTAGGAAATGAGATCACAGGGAGTTCAAGAGGATCGCTTGTTGCTCCTTAAAGGCGTCAGTGGGGCTTTCAGGCCAGGGGTTCTCACTGCATTGATGGGAGTCAGTGGTGCTGGTAAGACAACTCTAATGGATGTGCTTGCTGGGAGAAAGACCGGTGGATATATCGATGGAGATATTAGGATCTCTGGCTACCCAAAGAATCAAGAAACTTTCGCTCGAATATCAGGATATTGTGAACAGAATGACATCCACTCGCCTAATGTGACTGTCTATGAATCTCTTGTCTACTCTGCATGGCTTCGATTGCCAGGTGAAGTAGATGCTAATGCCAGAAAGGTATAGTACAAAAATCTTAACTGTATGCTCTATTTTGTTTCTGCAACTTTCTTCATAATCTTCATTTCAAGATGGTTGGAGAGAACACATTCAAAATGTTAATACTATAAATGATGTTGTAGATGTTTGTCAACGAGGTGATGGAACTCGTCGAACTAAACACCTTGCGGAACTCATTGGTTGGATTGCCTGGAGTTAATGGGTTGTCTACTGAACAACGGAAGCGACTGACAATTGCGGTGGAGCTTGTAGCGAATCCTTCTATAATATTCATGGATGAACCGACCTCTGGACTAGATGCCCGGGCCGCTGCAATTGTGATGAGAACTGTTAGGAACACAGTTGACACTGGCAGAACAGTGGTTTGCACAATTCATCAACCAAGCATTGATATTTTTGAAGCATTTGATGAGGTAAGTGTTAGCAGAAATAACACGCATTTCTTTTCTAGCGATGTGATTTTCTTATTATTATCTGAATACTATGAAATGATGCCTTTTTCTGCATATTTCAGCTTTTCCTAATGAAACGTGGTGGAGAGGAGATATATGTTGGCCCACTTGGGCGTAATTCATCTGAACTCATTAGATACTTTGAGGCTGTTAATGGAGTAAGCAAGATAAAGGATGGTTACAATCCTGCAACATGGATGCTGGAAGTGACAAACTTGGCTCAAGAAGAAAACTTGGGAGTTAATTTTGCTGAAATATACAAGAATTCTGATCTTTATAGGTATGATTATTGCCAGTTTCTTTTTTTTTTTTTCTCTCCAAATATTACCATGTTTGAAAACGTGACTCATATTACTGTTAATCTTTGCAGGAGGAACAAAGCCTTGATTAGCGAGCTAAGCACCCCTGCCCCTGGATCAAATGACCTTTACTTCCCCACAAAATTTTCACAGCCTTTCTTCTCTCAGTGCCTTGCTTGCTTTTGGAAACAATACAAGTCATACTGGCGCAATCCATCATATGGCGCCATACGAATGTTCTTCACCACAGTTATAGCCTTTATATTCGGCACCATCTTCTGGCGACTCGGCTCGAAAACGTATGGATATCATTGCATCTTATTAAATTAAATTAACTAGAGAAGTGAAATCATAAATGTTGAAGGGCTTTGTGTCTTTACAGGAGCACACAAGGAGAGCTCTTCAATGCTATGGGTTCCATGTACAGCGCTGTTATGTTCATTGGAGTGCAGAATTCACAAACTGTACAGCCAGTAGTGGATGTTGAAAGGACAGTATTCTACAGAGAGAAGGCAGCAGGAATGTATTCTCCTCTACCATACGCATTTGCTCAGGTAACATTAAGTTATAAATTTTCCAAGGTTCAAAATTGTTATGTTTCATGAGATTGGAAGTCTTAAGTTTAGTTTGGGACGGCTTTCTTTCTGCTTTTTAAACTAATTTTTTTAGTAAAAAATTAAAAATTTTGTAATGAAAAGCTGTTTTAAGAAGAAGTAAAAAAGTTGTCCCCTACGAAGTCTTATTAGCTATTTCTACTCAGTCTCTTGTGTTAATTCCCCTGGGATAGCTTGTTTGTTCTCTTTCATTATTCTAATCTTCTCTATTTGTATCAGGTTGCTATTGAAATTCCATATACATTGTTCCAATCCATTTTGTATGGGGTTTTAGTGTACAGCATGATAAATTTTGACTGGACTGCAGTCAAATTCTTTTGGTACCTATTTTTCACGTTCTGCACTTTCCTCTACTTCACGTTTTATGGAATGATGGCAGTGTCATTGACTCCAAACTCAGACATAGCTGCAGTAGTTGCTACTGCATTTTATGCCATATGGAATCTCTTTGCAGGATTTGTTATTCCACGCCCAGTAAGTCCTCAAAATAATCCTTTTCCTGAAAGCCATTTCTCTTCTTTCTTGTTCCAAAATCAGTATTCTAACTAAAGCTCGCTATTAATTTCAGAGGATTCCAATTTGGTGGCGATGGTACTTCTGGGGATGTCCAGTTTCATGGACTTTATATGGCCTACTCGCTTCTCAGTTTGGTGATATAGAGACAGTGATGACTGATATAAAAAAGCCAGTGAAGGAATATGTTAGGGAACACTTTGGTTATAAGCACAGCTTCTTGGGGGCTGTTGCTGCGGCTGAAATTGGCTTCCCTTTGCTTTTTGCTGTTGTTTTCGCATTTGCGATAAAGACTTTGAACTTCCAGAGGAGATGATGATGTCTTGAAGGGCTACATGAGATGATTCATGACGTCGGTCTCCAAACATTCCAGCAACTTAACTAGAATTTCTATCAAGGGCCAGCTTTTTGGCTTCTTTTCTTCTTCGCTGTAAACTTATTTGGTTCTTCCCTGTATTAGAATGTATCATATTTTTCATTTCTAGATCACCTTTGTTTGTATGATGTAACAAATGAGAAATTTATTTCTTCTATTTCTTTTTTTCATTTAGACCTTGTACCCTTTATGCCATTGTATTGTATAATGTCCTACTGAGTACTTCTGCTGTGTTAGAACTGAATCATCAAGTACAGGCATCCACAGTGAGTGCAAAGAACACTTATTGGCTGACAAAAAATTTATATGGCCAACAGATCCTGTGATCCTTGTGGACCAAAAATCTGAATCAACATAGATGCTACAGGACCAACTTTTTTGTTTGCTCTAAGGCTTCATTTGGGACGATTTTCTTTCTGCTTCTTAAAGAAGTTTTTTAGTAAAAAATTTTTAATTTTGTATTAAAAAGTTGCTTTAAGAAGCAGTAAGAAAACCGTCCCAAACGAATCCTAAGTTGATACTTGTGTGAGTTCCGACCGCTTAACTTTTCATCTTCCCACTGTGCTCACACTGTGTAAGAAAATGTCTTCAAGAGAACTTTTATGGAGATGTTCTTAGGAGAGGCAAAAAGTTTTCTGGCATTATAAAATAATAAGATGTTTTCAAATGGGTTAAATCAGGTTGATTTCAGGTTTCAAACGAGTCGAATTCGATAACCCGAATCCGACCCGTTTCGAAATCGGATCGGGTTCAACCCGAAATTTTCGTATCTGAGTTAGATTCAAATTTTCGTGTCGTATTAAATATTGACGTGCCTAGTTATTAAACGAGGTGACGGTGGGTGACAGCTAATGTGCAAAAGAGTACTATAGACCTTACACTTCCTACTTTCCTATGTGCTTAAAAGAATAATAAGTAGTATGAAGAAATTAAACATAGTGCTATGGTCATTTTTGTCCTATATTTACTGTAAGGTTCTTCCAAATAAATGCTTATGTGTTTTTCTTTTTGGCACCAAGAGAGAAGGCTCCCTCCTAAAAGCTCCCAAGATCATTTAAGCCACTTTTGTACAATTCATTGATGGAATGGCAACCAATTCTTTAATATGGAAGTTAACTAATCTCCTACCATTCAGCATTTAGCCTTTGTTTGTCCTCTTCTCAACTGACCTTTTTATTTACAATTTATAATGCACTTCTTTCTTAAAATAGTGATTTTAAAAAAATAAAGCGTTCATATGAAGATTACAAAAATTTGGTCTTCTCCTCAATGGAAAAAGATGGGATGACAAAGTAGGGATTATTGGTTCGACCTCTTATTTGTAATGGGAAATAATCGAGATGAAGTGAAGGATGAAGAATATCAATGTCAATCAATAGCCAGTCAAGATTGTAGAACAATGAAGATTGTCAATGTCGATTGAAGATGGACGATAGTGGATTGTGATATTAATTAGTAGAAAGCTGTGACATTTTGGTGGAGCGATCTGGCTATCGAGCAATGATTGTTAGGTAGTAATCGTTTTTGGAGGAAATTTTTAGTGTGGATTGTTAGATAAAGCTCTATAAATCTTCAAATATTTATGCTTTATTATGTCACTTTCTTATGAAGTCGGGACTGGTGAGATTGGGTGCTAATTTCGAATATTTTGAGTGGAATGTTGCACGTGTTAAATTTTTTTCCTTTAGGTGTTTAAGTATCTTAACGACATTAGAGAGTAGTGCCTTTATGATAGGAAATACTTGATTTCCTGCATTTTATGCCATATGGAATCTCTTTGCAGGATTTGTTATTCCACGCCCAGTAAGTCCTCAAAATAATCCTTTTCCTGAAAGCCATTTCTCTTCTTTCTTGTTCCAAAATCAGTATTCTAACTAAAGCTCGCTATTAATTTCAGAGGATTCCAATTTGGTGGCGATGGTACTTCTGGGGATGTCCAGTTTCATGGACTTTATATGGCCTACTCGCTTCTCAGTTTGGTGATATAGAGACAGTGATGACTGATATAAAAAAGCCAGTGAAGGAATATGTTAGGGAACACTTTGGTTATAAGCACAGCTTCTTGGGGGCTGTTGCTGCGGCTGAAATTGGCTTCCCTTTGCTTTTTGCTGTTGTTTTCGCATTTGCGATAAAGACTTTGAACTTCCAGAGGAGATGATGATGTCTTGAAGGGCTACATGAGATGATTCATGACGTCGGTCTCCAAACATTCCAGCAACTTAACTAGAATTTCTATCAAGGGCCAGCTTTTTGGCTTCTTTTCTTCTTCGCTGTAAACTTATTTGGTTCTTCCCTGTATTAGAATGTATCATATTTTTCATTTCTAGATCACCTTTGTTTGTATGATGTAACAAATGAGAAATTTATTTCTTCTATTTCTTTTTTTCATTTAAACATTGCACCCTTTATGCCATTGTATAGTATAATGTCCTACTGAGTACTTCTTCTGTGTTAGAACTGAATCATTAAGTACAGGCATTCACAGTGAGTGCAAAGAACACTTATTGGCTGACAAAAAATTTATATGGCCAACAGATCCTGTGATCCTTGTGGACCAAAAATCTGAATCAACATAGATGCTACAGGACCAACTTTTTTGTTTGCTCTAAGGCTTCATTTGGGACGATTTTCTTTATGCTTCTTAAAGAAGTTTTTTAGTCAAAAATTTTTAATTTTGTATTAAAAAGTTGCTTTAAGAAGCAGTAAGAAAACCGTCCCAAACGAATCCTAAGTGGATATTTGCGTGAGTTCCGGCCGCTTAACTTTTCATCTTCCCACTGTGCTCACACTGTGTAAGAAAATGTCTTCAAGAGAACTTTTACGGAGATGTTCTTAGAAGAGGCAAAAAGTTTCCTGGCATTATAAAATAATAAGATGTTTTCAAATGGGTTAAATCAGGTTGATTTCAGGTTTCAAACAAGTAGAATTCGATAATCCAAACCCGACCCGTTTTGAAATCGGATCGGGTTCAACCCGAAATTTTCGTATCTGAGTTCGATTCAGATTTTCGTGTCGTGTTAAATATTGACGTCCCTAGTTATTAAACGAGTTGAGGGTGAGTGACACCTAATGTGCAAAAGAGTACTATAGACCTTACACTTCCTACTTTCCTATGTACTTAAAAGATTAATAAGCAGTATGAAGAAATTAAACATAGTGCTATGGTTATTTTTTGTCCTATATTTACAATAAGGTTCTTCCAAATAAATGCTTGAGTTATTTTCTTTTTGGTACCAAGAGAGAAGGCTCCCTCCTAAAAGCTCCCAAGATCATTTAAGCCACTTTTGTAGAATTCATTGATGGAATGGCAACCAATTCTTTAATATGGAAGTTAACTAATCTCCTACCATTCAGCATTTAGCCTTTGTTTGTCCTCTTCTCAACTGACCTTTTTATTTACAATTTATAATGCACTTCTTTCTTAAAATAGTGATTAAAAAAAAATAAAGTTTTCATTATGAAGATTACAAAAATTTGGTCTTCTCCTCAATGGAAAAGGATGGGATGACAAAGTAGGGATTATTGGGTGAAGTGAAGGATGAAGAATATCAATGTCAATCAATAGCCAGTCAAGATTGTCGAACGATGAAGATTGTCAATGTCGATTGAAGATGGACGATAGTGGATGGTGATATTAATTAGTAGAAAGCTGTGACAATTAGGTGGAGGCGATCAGGCTATCGAGCAATGATTGTTATGTAGCAACGGTTGTTGGAGAAAATTTTTAGTGTTGATTGTTAGATAAAGTTCTATAAATCTTCAAATATTTATGCTTTATTAGGTCACTTTCTTATGAAGGTGGGACTGGTGAGATTGGGTGCTAATTTCGAATATTTTGAGTGGAATGTTGCACGTGTTATTTTTTTTTCTTTAGGTGTTTAAGTATCTTAACGACATTAGAGAGTAGTGCCTTTACTTCGCTCATCAACCCTCGCACGCTTCTTTTTTGCTACGTTTGGTACGGCTTTCTTACCACTTCTTAAAACAGTTTTTAATTGATAGAAAAAGCCTTCCATAGTACATCACCCCTCTTATACTTTATATTAGAAAAGGAAAAAATCATAGTTAAATGGTGATTACAACGTAATTAAAAGAATATTACCTCATTAATCATCCTATTTTGTTTGTTGTGAAGAGTTAAATCATTTAATTAAATATTGAATTTTTTAACGTTCAAGTTCACGTGCATGACATTTTCCGTAGGCCTTTTCTTCTCCATTCTGAACACACAATTTAAAAAAGCCCCATTATTCTGCACAACTGAACAATTTGCCACAGCAGTTTGTAGATTTCATTTGGCATTTTCGATTAAATTTTTTTTTCTTTTTCCAGAAAGAAGCTTGATTTTCTTTTAGAATTTTCCACCATATAATTTGATTTTTACTTAAGGGTGAAGTCCATCTTAGTTGACTTGTGCTTCACTTTTATTAAACTTATTTTGGAACAATATTTTTATTATTTCTTAAAACAGTTTATTAAAAGAAAGTCGTCCCAAATGAAGCCTAAAAATTTCTTTCTCATTACTTCTTAAAGCAAATTTTTAGTACATAATTTAAATTTACACAACATAACATATAATTGAAATCATAATAATGACATTAATATTGATACAACATATCATATCATACTAATATGACTTATTGGATGACTTTATTGATCATATTGATTTTATTATTAATTTATAAGATTTTTATTTTTCATATTAAGTGATGATTGATATTTATTAGAATTGACATAGATATTGTTCTTTTGCTTTGCATTGAAAATAGTGATATAGTTTTTGTTACTTATTGGGCTTTTATGCTCTTTATGTGAATTTTTATAATTTCAGGTATGAGAAGGGATTAGGATCAGTTGGAGTGAGATTGACAGAGATTCTCAAGTTTTCTTTTAATTTTATTTATATTTTCTCTTATTATTTTATAGTCAAAAGTTTGTGATAATGTAGTAATTGTATTGATCTCCTAATCATTGTATATTGATTTTAAGAATCTAGTGAAATGTTTTGAGGTATATGATTATTAGTTGCTTTCAGTGGTTATAGATTTATTAATGTGATGATTTATAAAAATTTTGTTTGATTGATAAAAACCTACCCTCTTATGCAAGCCTCAGTTCTCCCCCATAAACAAGGAGGAAAAAGTTTTTCGACAAGAGTTGATTAGTGATCAAAATCTGATCCTCTTACGCAAGATGACTATTAGCAACATGCGAATATCCTCGGCAACGATCAAAGCATGCCGTCGAAAGTCCGGCCATCTTATGCATGGTGGCTGTTGGCAAGAGTTGAATACCGTTGACGAATATCAAAGCCTAGTCCTCTTATGAAAGCTCTAATTCTCTCTCGTAAAAGAAGGGAACAATTGTCCGATAAAAATAATATTTATAAAATTATTTTAATAAAATTTGCTGCCAGCTCAAACAGATGATTTATTTCAACACAAAGAAAGGATGCTCTATCTCTTTTATTGAAGAAGATAGATAGGTGAAGAAAAAAAAACTTATAAAAAATGATTGAAATATGCTAATGCAAATTTTTAGATTATTATTTAGATGAATACTTATTTTTTGCGAACTGATTAATTCCCCCTCATATACGTAATAATTAAAAAATTTTGGGAAAGTAATTAGGAAAAAAAAAAAGATAGCTAGACCAAATTGGCCCGCCTACCAGACATGGTGACCAAAGAAAATGACCGTTTACGTGGCAAAATCTCTATCTACAAAAACGGTAACGCCAGGTAAATAACGGAAGAGAATTTAAGCTGCCCTTGAGGGTAATTACGGGCAGCAAAGATCGGGCTGTCCTTTTGTAGACCGGATAGATTTTTTTTTTTGCTTCCTCTCCGCTTCTTTTTCGTCGCATTAGCTGTTTCGCCTTTCTCTTCCTGTGTCTCCCTTGCTTCTTGTTTCCATCCTTTTCGCTGTTCTTTTGCTTTATTTAAAAAAGCGGACCTTAGAGGTCGACTTTCGGGTTTCGGCGGATTGTTATCAGGGGATTAACAAGGATCTTTTTGGAGGTTGGTTAAGGGAGTTGATGTTGTTCGCGGCGTTTGATTTGAGGTTGTAAGTTGGGGATTTGAGGTTATATTGTTTTGGCTGAAGAAGCGGAAGGAGGAAGAAGAGGCAGGAGAAATTATTTATTTTTCTGCTGCTTTGGGTGGAATCATGTCGCAGACCAATTGGGAAGCTGATAAAATGTGAGCTCTTGCCCTTTGCCCATTTTTTTGTTTAAAAATTTAATTTTGGTTGGTTGCTACTTGGTGTTGGTTGCTTTTTTGTATTTGCTTAAGATGTTATTTCGGGCTTCGGTTCATATTGGTTCAATTTTTACGGTTAGGGTTTTTAGGGATTTCAGCTGCGATAGGGATTCGAAAAAAAAATTGGGGAAGCTTTTGAGTTGAGCCGTTTTAGTTGAGTTGACATTGTTGTTTTTGAACTTAAAAAAAAAAAGTTTCTTGAATGTTTTGTTTTAGGTTTTTTATCGTGGTAACATGTTAAGCCGTTGTTCCTTTCTGCTTTTTGGTTGCCCCTTTGTGTGTGAATACTGAATTGTTTGATTTATTTGGAGCTCTGTCTTTGCTGTTAGGGCATCACATTCTGTTCTTCAGCTATCATTTGTACTGGAATTGAGTTTGTCATTTTATTTGTGCCTGTAATAAAATCTTCCGCCCATTATTAAGCTTACACTTCTGTACTATCTTGGTGGTTAATTTATTATTTTTCTATTTTTAGGTAATCTGGTTTTAAACTTAGCTTTTTTTTTTTCAAATTTATTTATTTTTAAAGTTTAACGTCCGGAACAGGTTGGACGTGTATATTTATGATTATTTGGTCAAAAGAAACTTGCAAACCTCTGCAAAAGCTTTTCAAGCTGAAAGGAAGGTCTCTTCGGATCCTGTTGGTATGTAGAAGAGGAAGTAATCTCATTTTTAGTCCTTTCGGTTGATTTAACTTTGAACTGTTTGTAATTACTCTGTTGGTATTTTTCTAATTGTGGAACGTGGTGAGTTTTCAGCAATCGATGCCCCTGGTGGTTTTCTCTTTGAATGGTGGTCGGTTTTTTGGGATATTTTCATTGCAAGGACGAATGAGAAGCATTCTGATGTCGCTGCATCATATATTGAAGTATGTATTTTTCCCTTTTTTATATATAATTTTAAATGTTTACATTGTTATGTGAGCAGCCTGTTGATGGCTTGTATTCGTATCCTCAACTTGTGTAAAAGAGTGTTACTGCCCATTTTTTCTCATTTACTTAAGAAATCATAAAGTCACTTCTGGATAGTGCACTGGTGTTAATGTTCTGTTCTGTGTTCTGTGAGTAATGGAGTTTATTCCTCCTTAATTTAATTTTCTAGTGGGAGCATCTCAAGTCTCAACCACTGCAATTGTATTTCATGGGCTGCATTCCTCTTTATTTGTAATTTCTTTGGGGCTCTTTGGAAGACGAGCTGTTGCATTGTTGAATTGATATGGTTGTTGTTAGCATTGCATGCCATTAGCACTCTTGTTGGAAAAGCTAGCTTCCCAAAATTGTATGTTTGGAGGGTACCATTGCTATTATAGGAAGCCCATGAGGCTGCATGTTGCTTTAGTTATGCTTTGTGTAGCTAAAGTTGCGCTTGCAGCCCCATTGTAGTGACCCATATAGCTTCTATAGCTGTGGTGACTCATATGGGCTACTATGGCACCTTCTGTACCCATCCTTGCTGTAGTCTCTGTGGGATTGAGGGTGCTCCTGTACTGGTAGATTTGGGCTAACAGCCACGTCATCAGCTAATTTGCTCGAGTGACTGATTAGATTGACCAGTTACAACCGATGGAGGTGGCCGACATGAAGGAAGAAGCCTTATATTGCCTTGAAGATTCATGAGTGCATGCATCTTGCTCATGTTTGATTAACCGAACCATTGTTAGCTAATAGGTGATTTGGCATTGTTCAGTTGTACATACAAGGCTATAGACTGAGATTTTTGTTGCTTTATGAGGATGATTCAGATTAGTGCGTGGGGCATGCACACCAAGCCATTAAAAAAAAAACTTTCCAGCTTTTTTAGTGTATTTTTTTGCATAGTTTCAAAGAATTTTTTTCTAATGAAGTTGGAACGGTGTATTTGATCCGTAATTATTTAACCAATTAATAAGCTCATTGTTCCTATTTTCAAATTCATTTAGTTGAATATTAAGTTGGGCATTATTAGATTTATGGTAGCACCTGTATCTCTACATACTTGGGAAACATTTATGCGGGAAATTTTTGTCGGCCTTTCAAACTTTATTGTTTTTGCATGAAGATAGCATATATATATATATATTTTTTCATGGGAGTCTGCTGGCTCGTTTGTTTAACATTCAACTTTCATCCTCCAATATAGATTTGTAAGCCATAATACGGTTTGGTTTTTAAACCCCATGTTACAATGAGATTTAATGAGAAAATTATGGTTGGGAACAGTTGTGTCAAGAAATTTGTGTGGTAGATTCTTTTAGTTAGCTGACGAATTAGGCTTCCAATATATTTAAATGCTTTATATACAATTGGATTGATAGTTTTTATCTGTTCCTTCAATTACCTGCTACACTACTGTAGATTATTGCAAACAAAACTAAATGAGCTAATGTTCTTTTTCTTCATTAATTAATATCTTCATGGACACATCCAAATATCCTTTCCATGCTATAGAATATAGAATTGGTATGCACTGGCTTCCTCTTGAAGATTTGGTTGATTTATTTGTGCTCATCCACTTTTTCCCTTCCTTTTTTATGCTCGTAAAGAATGATTGATTATGCTCCTTGTTAGACTCAATCAATGAAAGCTAGGGAGCAACAACAACAGCAGCCACAACAATCTTTGCCAACGCCGCAGCAGCAACAACAAGTTCAAATGCAACAACTTATGCTGCAGAGGCATGCTCAACAACAACAGCAGCAGCAGCAGCAGCAACATCAACAACAACAACAAACAACAACAACAAAACAACAAAACAAAGGAGAGATGAAGCTCATCTTCTAAATGAGCTCTGCAAATGGGGATTGTTGGTAATGTGATCCAATTAAATGCGACAAAAATTATCCCACAACATGCAAATGCACTAGGCTACAAAGCCTATAATGAGGGAGCGATTGAAGTACCTTTGCAAGGGATTTCCCTTTATGATGGATCAATGAAGGTATGCTGCTTAGGGTGAATATCCATTGTAGATTTTTAAAAGGAAATTTTCTTCCATGAAACGTGTAATAGCTCATTTGCGAGCACTGATGCATAACTGTGTTGCTCATTTTATTGAACAATATTTCAAGCAGAGATCGGAGAGAATGTAGCCACTTTTGGATGCTAGCCAAGCCTCAATGCTGAAGTCGACCGTACTTCAGGGCAAGCCCAGGGTATATTTTTCTCGCACTATGACACCTACGTTGTGTTTAGATTCTATCTTGGTTTTTTTTTTGGCCTGACAAAGATGTATTCATGATACATTAGCGATTATTTGCCTTAATAGATTTAAGAAAGCTATTAGTTATCTTAGATTGCATATTATTGTGGAATATGATTACTGCTTTGACAATTTAGAGTGCTTGAGCCATGTCGCTTTTCTCAGATACCTATTTCAAATTTTTCCTTTAATAGATGCAGCTATATTGAAATACATTTGAGGAATGAGAATGAAATGTGTACATGGACTTATGCAGTTTTAGTAGAAACATGTGTTTTTGTTTTGTATCATTGTTGGTTCATTTGTTTCTTTTTAGCAATGAGATTAAAACATTACGTTGTCTCCCATTTAATTTTTGCGATGTTTTTTGTGCTGCTGAAATGTTTTCCATCTTATATTTGTGGCGTGTGAAATGTTTTCCAATCATTATATTAGGCTTTCCTTCACCATGTCATTCTTCAGGTGTTTTTTTTCTTTATGAAAAAAAGGGGGGAAAACCTATTTT